CTGCTGAACAGTTTGAAGGTGCATACGTGCTCTTCCCTGCTCCCCCTCTTTCTGAAGGGTAAGAATGTCATCATTTCTATTTGAATTTTTATTCTGGGAACTTCCTCTATTTTGTTTTGTTTTGTTTTGGTTTTGTTTTTTTTTTTAAATGACAGAAGAAAAGGTAGGAGAAAAAGTCTTTATAATCCTAAGCCTAAAGAATTGCCTTCAAAATGGTCCAAAACTAATGGGTTAACAGTCATTGTAATGCCCTTTGAAACATTTCTTTCGGCTACGGGAGTATGCATCTTTCAGATTTATTTTATTTCATCCTCAAGGACCTTGGTGAAATACAGTACATTGGAGGAAAAATAAGATCAAGATGTGCAGTCATTCAGGCTGTAATTAAATTTAATAGGCAGTTTATCCAGTTCATAGAAAGATGGCATAGCAGAGAGCTACACAAAGCAGAGCCTAAAGCAGGAAATCATTTTACAATAGGGTATCCATCTGGAAAAAAAGACGTTGCATGAAACCAGCAAGTGTGAACGAAATCTTCATCAGTATCGTATGAGGTTACTTTATCACGCTGCGGTACTGGCAACGGGAAGTTTGACGTGTCTTCTATTAGGAGTAATGCACGGCCATCGTAACAAATGTAAATCTAACTGGCTATTATGCAAACTGAAGAGAAGGGGCAGTTAATAAAATACAAAATAACCGGGTGTTTTATTATGCCGGGCGCCAGATTCCTCAGAGCTGAAGCTAATGTGGTTTACGCATTATCTTTGAGATGCTACAAATGGAAAGGCTTTGAGCATTTTATTTGGTAATGTATGTAGTCGCAAGTACCACAGAAAATAGCTGCATTTTTAGCAGCATTTCTGAATATGTAAAACCCAAACTGACTCAATATCAGTGTACAGGTTGAACAATAAAACACGGGGTTAATAAAATGCATGTTAGAAACTCTGATTAAATTTGCCTGGGGATCTCCTCTAACCATGCTGTGAAAAAGATGCAGATGCTATGACTTTTCCTGAATATTTTACTGGAGCAATTTTTTGGGTGGCTTTTCCAGGAGCAGCCTTGCATGTTTTTTTAGGCCTTTGCACCAGCACACATATGGTGGAGCAATCCTGTAATACACCCTGGTGGCACCTTTGTCAGTGGAAAAGCCCAACCTTGCTATGAAATCCAATTAAACAGCCATTTTTGCCACATAAATTGATCCCATTTTTTCCATCATTTTTGTGGGTTTTTTTCATCGCAGGCTGCTCTATCTCCACATTAACGGTACGGGATGAGGTACTCGCGGAGACACACACAGTGGCAGAATCCCTACCGTCTTTAAAATCCACTTTACAAAGGAAACAAGGCTCACAGGGGCACTCTGCCCTAATCAGGAATGCTTGCTATGCCTCTTTAGTTAAAGCAGCAATGCACTCCAGCTCCAGCGAGTTCAATGAGGACCACAGCACATGACTCTGCTCAGTCCTAGCATCAGGAGAGATATCTCTCTATATCTATCTCTATATCTATCTCTAT